ATACTTGTGTACATGCCCTAGCAATATAGGACAGTTTAGTTCTAATCTTTTCAGCCTTTAAATTTAATACTTATGAAAGCACAAGTTTCTTTAAAGGGTCCAAAAAGGATGACTTTAAATAGGCTAACATGTATAATAGTTTTCTCTTGAAGGAAAGTTCATTTAATTCTCATAGCATGCATTGTTAGATTAACTATTGAATCTTCTTTTATTCTTGTTTAGTGCACAGAGAAGATCATGTCAATAATTTGTATAATTTTATGTAACTAATTAAATAATTATGTTCATACCTATAAACTCAATCATTGGTTATTTAGCTCCCTTTCTTATAATTTTGGAATGGAAGAATGATTATACTATATTAAAAGCAGTGAAATAAATATAGTATGAAATGTTCCACTTTGATATTATAAATAGGCCATTTTGAAATCTTTATGTATATTTTATTTATTTTTTTGCTAATTCTCACCTGAGTATATTTTTTCCATTGACTTTTTTAGAGAAAGAATGGGAAGGAGGAGGAGAGACAGAGATAGAAACATTGATGCAAAAGAGACACATTGACTGACTGCCTTCTGCACACACCCTAACCAGGGTGGGGGATCCAGTCTACAACTGAGGTACATGCCCTTAACTGGAATTGAACACATGACCCTTCAGTCTGAAGGCCGATGCTCTAACCTTTGAGCACTGGCTAAGGCTGTATATTTTATTTTTAATAAAAAGTGAAATATACTTTTTTATTACTTCTTTGCTTGTAAACAAAAATATTTTTTTATCTTTCTTAGTCTCCATATAAATCAAAGTATGTGTAAACATAGGACCACAGAGGCAGACACTAGCATAAGGAATAGGAAGTATGCCATAGTAGTATTCTTGCCTTTTTACTGAATAATGATAATGAATGAAGGTACTTTCTAAAATGTCATTCTCCACATTAAACCTATATACTTGAATTAAAAATTTTAAATGTATGACAGTATATAGTAAAAAATACCCCCCACAGACACACACTTGCCTGATTCTATTCCCTTGAGGTGAACTACTATACATTGTGTGTGTGGAGGGGGTGGGGGGGGAAAGTAGGTTTACAGTTGTTCCAATAAATAATAATACAAGATTAAACTCACATACTCACAACTGTAAACCTACTTTTGCCCCACCCTGGGGCATATCTTTTCATATTCTTCAATGTGCATCCATCAGACAATGAAGTAGTTTGGAAACGTTCCTAATCTTCATTATATACTTAAGTAGCTATCCAAGCAGCCCCTTTCAATGACTGAAAATATGATCAAGTTAAAAACTATTATTTTTCATGATTCTCCTTTTGATTGCCTTGCAGGTGTATTTTCTACAACACTGCATATGAGTGGAGACTGTTAAATATAGGTGTCATAGGAGAAATTTCCCTAAACTGGTCACTAGAAATTTATTATTCACACTTCCTGAGAGAGGCAATCACATTGGAAGACTATTTCATGTTAGTCTGGATATAATGCTAGTTGGTCATTTCTTGTTTTGAGAGGTATAAAGTAGAATTCGCTAATAACATGATAATTTGGCCCTTAAAAGCAGAAAACCATCAAACTTATAGCAGCACTGAAGAAAACAAAACTCAACAACCGACTATTCAAAGCGAATGGCTGGCAAACATCCCAAAGAAGTTACATTTAAAGTATATACTATATGACCGAAAATAAAAACAAACAGGCAAACACAGCAAAGTTTGCTCATATGAGAAGGTTGAACTGGTTATAGATCTCTCAGCCAGATCATACAGTACTGTCTTGAAGCTTCTTTCTGGTGGAAAGGAAAGCAGCATTCACCAATGAAGTCTTGCAATTTAAAGCAACAACAACAGTATTCAAGGGCCCTGTGCACTAACACAGAAATTAGCAGAGAATAGATATCTAAGTAGCTGGAATACAGTGGATCAAATCAGAAAGAATGTCTTAAAAACTTCAGAAGCAAACCTTTAAACAGTTCTACTGAGGTCTGCTAGAAAATTGCAACAAATGGGTAAATAAGGACTGGAACAGAGGCAAGCATGACGGCAAAACACGAAGTAAAGACTCACCTCATTAAATATTATTTATACTTTTAAAAAGACCAGAATGACAAACAAAAAAAACTACCTATACATTTGAATGACTAATGCTATCTCTACAACTACTCAGAATGAGGAAGGACAAGGAAAGAAAAATTCCAATAAATGAAACAATTACCAGTTTTTCAAATATGTGAATTTCTAAAATTGAAAGTACAATATAAAGTGAAAACTGGCACCGATAAAACATATCTTTCCTAACCTTTATATAGGCAGCTTCTGCTAAAGAAAAGTAATATAT